AATTTCTCTTCTCCACCTTTTCTGTTTTTTATTTTTTATAATTCCAAAAAAATATATGTTTCCAAAAAAACAAATATGGGGTTGTAAGGATTAAAATTCCCTACAACCCCATATTTTATTTTTATTTTTTTACCCATTATTCAATTCAGGAAAAATCACGTAAAATCGGGTCCGCGGCGCGGACCAGGCTGGCCGTGTACGCGGACGTATATGAGTCCGCCATCCGGGATCGACCCCGCGGACGCGTCCGCGGGTGTTTCATAGCCCTTCTCCCCCCCCCGCCAACACACCCACCCACCCACCCACACATGCACACCCCCCCCCCCCCACCCACACACACACACACCCTCTCTCTCCGACCCCCCCTCTCTCTCTCCCCCCCTCTCTTCCCCCCCAGGGCCCACCCCCTCTCTTTTTCTTTTTTCGCTGCTATGGCTTGGAGATTCCTCCCCTACCCCCCCTAAGCACACGATCTTGTTCATCTAGACGTTCTCCTTGTTCTTGACTTCCTTCAACCACTTCTTGAGGTCCTCCTGGGTGTACCCAACCTTCTTGTCGGTGGGCTTGAACTCCTCGCAAGTGATGGGGTAGATCAGCATGTACTTGTCCCGCTTCTGGTTGTTGTAGATGCCCTCGTCAAAGGCCGTGTTACCGAGCTCCGACCTCCTCTTCAGGAACCAGTCGTTGTGGGAGGTCCCCCTCCTGGAGCTGGTGGCCACGTTGGTCCCGAACTCCACCATGAACGCCTTCTGCCTGTCCTGGACGCGGTCCTCCAGGAAGAGCTGGGTCGCCACCTGCTGCTTCAGTAGGTTGTCCACCGTCCTCTCCTTGTCGTCCCTCGTGAAGGCCCAGCACAACAACGTGAGCCCCGGGTTGGTGACTGGGAGGTGTATCAGGGCGAAGGTGCCCTCCTCCTCCTCCTCCGGGAAGTCGACCATGACGTGCCTCATGAACGACATGGCCTCGGAATACCCCTTCAACGCCTTGAAGGAGTCCGGCGCCAACTCCATAGACTTCTTCGCCCTGTCCGTCCTATTCATGTCAGTGGCCACGGTGAACAATATCAGGATCGCCTCCCTGGACATGCCGCGGGTAGTCCCACAACTTCTCCCTCAACATGTGGGAATTCTTGATCCCGATCGCGTACTCCCTGTGCCGCTTGATCCTCTTGAAGAGCTCGGAGTGGGGCTTGACCGCCTTGTTCAAGTCCATGAGGTCGAAGGGGTTGGAGTTGGGAGGCGGAGCTGGGGGTCGACATGATGGGCCCGGGTGTAGTCTTCTTCTTCTTCTTCTTCTTCTTCTTCTTCCCCTTCGTCTTCTTCGTCTTCTAGTTCTTCAGCTTGTTCTTCGACTTCTTTCTCTACTGCGTCTTGTTCAGCACGTGTAACAGGGGAAAAGAAGCAAAAGGGAAAGATTTGGAAGAAGCAAAAGGGAAAAAAAAGGAAGTAAAGATTTGGCCGTGATAGCGGATGCCCTGAGTGAGGGCCTTTCCTGTGACCATGGAATGTGCCCTACCCTGGCAAAAGGGAAAAAAAAGAAAGGATTTGGCCGTTATTGCGTTCAGATACATTCTGGACAGTACCAGCGTGAGTTGATGCTCTCAGTCAGGCCCTCCCGGACCATCTTTCTGGAAGTAGTTCGTTGCTGAATGTATACATATGGTATCTCTGGTCTGATTCAGCCACAATGAGGAAGTAGAGTGCACAAGTTGCCCCTGAGCAAGTTTCTCACAAGCGCGGGAAGCGCGCCTTGTCAGAGTAACTTGAGCAAGTTTCTCACGAGCGCGGGAAGCGCGCCTTGTCAGAGTAACTGTTCGTTTTTTTTTTGTTTTTGTTTTTCAAACTTCCACTACTGCTTTCAAATCAGAGGCCGGGGCCCACTTACCAAGTCCCACTTACCCGAATTCTCAACTTCTGACCGTAGATTCTGAAGATCAACAGCCAGAAATGAAGAATCAGCATGAGTGGGACTTGGCCCCCTGTTTCAACAGGTAAGAGTAACGGTCAGTAGCTCCACCTATAACCTCATGTGAAGAAGAGAACAAATACGGGGCCGTGGCTGTCTATATTTTTGTTTTTTTGGAACCGTTTCTCGATTTAGGGCCTGGTTGCACTACTCGCCATATGCCAAGTTTGGGGAGTAGGTGCCTGGTTGCAGTTACTCTGCCAAACTTGGCGAGTGAAAAAATGTGTCAGACGCTCACCGTAGACACAAGTTGTGGCGAGTGTTTTCGGTTTCTCTGCCTGTGCACCACGGTTTGTGGAGGGTGGTCCTTCCCACCTCTCCACAAAACAGCTTCTTGGTGAGTGCACGGCTTCACCAGTGGAGATCAGGCAGACTAAGTTTTTTAACTTTCTGTAGAAGAAATATAGCGGTGAGTAAGTGCAACCAGGCCTCCAGTTCGACACCGTTCTCAAATTGTTCACTCTCCACCCATCCGCCATGAATTGTGGCGGATGGCGAGTCGTGCAACGGGGCCCTTATGCGCGCTGGGCCATGCTATAATTGCCTGTATATAGCGATGTTCTAAGGGAAGATTCCCAAGGATCAGACCACAAGCACTCATCAGTCCAGAAGGCAAAACACATAGAACGAGCCCTAATTTCCAGGATCGCATACTAAGGAATTACTATCATATCACTAACAACTCACTATTCAAACAAGACCACCAAGATTCCCACCCGAACCCTAAAACAAAGGTCATGAAACAAACCCTAATTTTCACGACGAAGTACCAACTAGACACTATCGTTCGCGAGACACTATCCTTCGCACCAAGCAATTGCCCAAACAAAAATGAACTGAACCATCAAGGAAATTGAGGTTTTCGTGGCGGCACAGGCGAGACCTAACTAACAAGAGTTATGGAAACCATAGAAAATCCTGCCTTAAAACGAAGAGATACATACTAGTCTGAAAGAGACACAATCCAAAAGTACCCAAAAGCCTATCAAACGGCAAAGCTCTTGCCTAAGGCGGCGAGCAACTGACCAGCATTCCAAAACGAAGCCACGCTCCTCACAATCTCACCCGCTCTCTTTCAGATAGGGAGCAAGCCCGGAACAACAAGTGTGACTCCTCAGAAGCAACCAAGGCGACAGAGCAGCATGTAGATACAGTTGATGAACCTGATTGAAGACGCCCATTCCACGTGCCAGCGCTTGGTGCTCCAATCATTCACGGGCTAACCCTGACGATAACGCCTGGGCAGGAGACCCCCTTCAAAACTTCCGTATCGAAGATCGAGGGCCATAGCCCCTGACTGAATCCGGACACTGCAACAGACCTTAAAACACCAGTACATGGGCACCTGGGCCGCGGGCCTGACACCTCAAATTCTGGAGGCGCGAAACAAAACCACGACCGCCGATCTAATTTATCAACGGCGGGCGCGGCGTTCGACGTTTCGGCCTCGTTTTCTTGTGGCGACAAGTTTTGGACTGCAAGGCTGGGGATGTGTACTGGTGGGTCTCTCAATTTCACCTCACACTACCTACCTACCACTACTCCTAATTATAGTCATACAGGGAACCTCGTAGCAGCCAGAACCGTGTTCATGAGAGAACATCCAGGGGCTGCTCTCGAACTGCAGGTGGGCGGTACCAGCCAGGGGACAGCTGGTAGCATCAGGGACCATGCCAACAGGACCAATCCCTGTGCCTCCCTCAGGTCCCAAAGTCCGAGCATTTAGGGGGCGTTATAATCCAGCCGAGGAAGTTTTTTGGCGGATCGGAGAGGAAGCCCAGAGAATGGCAAGCTGACAGTCAATCCTCCATGGGGTTTGGAGTAATCAATGCTGCTCAGGGACCCTTCGGCCAGACGGAAGGGGGCGTGGGTGAGATCAGTTATGTAAATTGATCTGTTATCACCTACAGGGGGATTAGGAACCAGTCTGACACTCCCAAATTGAAATGGGCCTGGTTGGTGACGAAGTGGCGAGGTTAAATGGGCAGGTTGTAAGATGGAAAGAGTGGCATACCTCTGCCAATCTGTTTGTCAGCGGAATACCCAGGCACAGGAGGAACTAACTCCAACCTGGGCCTAGAAGAAGCGACCAAGACACACGCGCGACTGGCAACAGCTGATGTTTCATATGGTACAGATCGCAAAAGAGTTCAGGGGTCGACAACATGCGAAGGAATGGTATAATCCACCAGTCTGTCCTTGAGGAATCTTATTTTCACAGATTTATTACGACAGCAAAGAGTAGCAATAGCTGAGAGGATTCCTAGAGGTATCGCAAGCTGACAGTCAATCCTCCATGTGGACGGAGCAATCAATGCTGTTCAGGGGTCCATCAGCCAGACGGAAGGAAGCATTGGTGTGGGATTTATTGTATTTTATGACTTGCCGGGGGAAAGGAACCGGACTGACGCTTAAAAATAAAAATAAAAAAATGCACTACAGGCGTCATCTGATGTTTCACAGGGAACAGATGTAAAAAGATTAATCTTGTTCAGGGTTTAGGGTTTAGGGTTGAGGCCTTGGACAGAAACAAGACAAGCAGGGGTTAGAATGCTAGGGATTTCACTGCGGCTCAAATGCGGGGTTTAGGGTTTAGACAGAATTGGTAGCCGTGGTAGCTTATCAGACCTTTCTTGCTTCTCATGTTTTTTTTTTTTTTTTTTTTTTTTTTTTTTTCCTGAGAGGAAAGGTGGAAGCAGGGCAAGCTGACAGTCAATCCTCCACGAGGTTGGAGCAATCAATGCTGATCAGGGTTCCTTCGGCCAGACGGAAGGAAGTGTGAGGGTGTCCTATGATGTATTTATTTTTCCTGACTTGCCGGTGAATAGGAACTGGACTGATGCTCCCCAGAATGGAAATAGAGCCAGGCCCATAAGGACCTGTTTAGTGTAAAAAAAAAAAAAAGAGAGAGAGAAAATTGAAGGGTTTAAACACTCAACAAAATCCCACCACGCGATGAAGGGCACGCCTCGCATCTCCTGCGTTGCGACTGCATCACACGTAATTGAAAACCCAAGGAGGACCTGGCTCAATGATGCAGGTGGGACAAAGTCCTCAATGAGGAGAAGACCAAAAAAAAAAAAAACAAAAAAAAAACGAGCAGCTGTATCCCGTGTTGAAACGAGAATGGATCTTCCCCTACGAACATCAGCAGACTCTGCTCGATGCCGATCGGGGGATCCAGTGGTCTATGTCTAGGTGGCGGGCGCCAAGCATGGCCAGGAAGGTACATGAGGCCAATGGGGATTGAACCCACGACCTCCTGAATGCCACTTGTGAGCCTTACCAACTGAGCTAGGCCGCTGCCACATGACAGACCCCATCCATACACGAGTCTGTGGAGCACAAGCTTTAGTTTTTTATTGCATGTAGACTCTCATAAGCACATGAAAGACCCCATCCACGCACCATGAGCCAGGGTATCTCGTGTGTAAAAGATCTGTGAAAACATGTGAAAGCACACACACACACACAAAAAAAAAAGAAGGAAAAAAAGTGACTTAATGTCGAAGATTTGATCATAATCTATAATGACGACGGGCAAGAAGAGGCGTAGCTGCTATGATGCCATTAGCAGACTTATTCTCTGTTTGTTTCTGAATATTGGATGCCTGGCAGACTTTCCTTGCTTGAATTCGCCTTCTATTGTTGTTGGTTGACGGCTTAACGACTATCTTTGTCCAGGTGGCACTACTTCGGTGTCTTTGCTATTCACTGCTTTTTTGGATGGCTGGTGGCTGGAAGTCGGTGAGAGAGATTTCTAGCCATTGCTAAGTGAGCAAGAAGGTGTTCTTATCACCCCACCTGGTACTCCGAGGCCTTTTTTTTTTTTTTTTTTAAAAACAAGGACTGGAATGGAAGAGAGTGAGTGTCAAAAAAAAAAAAAAAAAAAAAAAAAAAAAGAAGACACTGACAGCGGGGAAACACAAGGAAGGAGTTCGGGGGAGAAAGAGGAGATGACCAGTATGGTGTGACACTACTGATACCAGTAGCGGTGGCTCCGAAATAGAGGAGGCTAATGGGCATCTTTATGTTCTCATGTTGCTCTTGTTGTTTCTCATTTTTCTTTTTTGGGTGGTTGTGTGCTTGTCCCTCGCTCTCTTTCTCTCTCTTTTTCTGTGTGTGTGTGTGTCTGCATGTTTCGTCATGTGTTGCAATGTCCCCCCTCCCCCCCCCTCCTCTTGTGTGTGTGGGGTTGGTTGGTTCCATTTGCCCCTTGGCATGGGCATGTGCCATTTTGCCAGCAGAATTATGTGGCTCTGATGATCAATTGCGGGGCCACAGAAGATTTGCGGTGCTTGCTAAATGTTGGGAGACGTGCGCTCATTTTTGTTATTGATAGCCATCGGCCCATTCATTTACAGAATCTAAATCAATACAATAAGCAGGTAAGTTCTCCGTCCTACGCTCTTGTTTTTTCCTTCCTAATTTGAAAGGGTTAGCACGTTAATTGAAGCTTGTGTGTGTGTGTGTGTGTGTGTGTGTGTGTGNGGTTAGCACGTTAATTGAAGCTTGTGTGTGTGTGTGTGTGTGTGTGTGTGTGTGTGAAAAGGAAAAACGATGTGAGCACTGGACAGAGAGAGAGAGAGAGAGAGAGAGAGAGAGAGAGAGAGAGAGAGAGAGAGAGAGAGAGAGAGAGAGAGAGAGAGACCCCAAGAAGCATCAAACATTTCTGACAAAATTCATGGTGCGAATTTGATATAACAAGCACTGGCTCCCACTGCAACCTCATAAAAAGCTATGAAACAGAGACCTGAAGAAACTGGAACACAAGTGGTTGTTAGCAAGGCAGCCCCTCGAGAACCAGGATTACCACGGATGAGTTCATAGCAGTATATTAGGAAGGATAGGTGCGAAATAACATCGATGAGGTTGCAAAATTTGCCATGAACATATCGTTCTCTCTCAGCAGAGTTTCAAGCTTCGGCTGGCACTTCCAGAAATCGGGTTGTGGAGAGGTCGCGCCCTCGCGGAAAGGATCTGGGTAAACGTTTAAGTGCGAAACGAGACAAAATTCCGCTTGGAATCACTGACCAACCTCTAGAAGATTGGGAAAAACCAGTGAGTGGAAAAGGCACTCCCAGGCAGGGATTGCCATCAGAGTAGGAACATCATGACATCTTTCGATATCTCGCTTAACAGCATTGGTTGGGCCAAGAAAAGTGAGAAAAAGTAAACGAAAGGAATGATAAGAAGTCAAAAATACAGAAAGACTTCCAAGCCAAAAAGCCAAATTACCTGCGTACGGATCCGTGCCGCCCGGCCGACTGGCGCCTGCCCGGGGTTTGGTCCCGGGCGGCCTGGCCGGGCGGGCGGCCCGGTTGGGGGCCGGGCCCCCCCGGCACACCTTGTTGGCGGGGGGTTCCCGACCCCGATTCGGGGAGATTTCGCCTCCCCAGGGCCTACCGGGTCCGACCACGGCCAGAAAACGGCGCGTCGGGCCCGTGAGGCCTGTATTTTTTTTTTTGAATTTGGGACGACCCTCTGGCCGTCGATCATCCATGATCAATGGCCAGAGGGCCGTTCGTTTTTGGAGGGAAAACGGAGGCCCTGTTTGAACAAGCCACTGGCTGGGGCGGCCTGCATTCGCTGTCCAAACGGGCGTCAACACCTGCTGTAGCCGGCTGCGTTCGTTGTCGAGTCGCCCGTCGTCGAAGTAGCTGCCCCTCGTCGCCATTGCCTGGGAGCTTTACTCGCCCGTCGCCGTCGTGTCGTCCGTCACCCGTCGCCAGCGCCATCGCGGTGCTCCTGCCTGCTGCCGCCCGTCGACGTGGAGGCCGCGGTATGTTCTTCTTGTTCTTCTTGTTCTTCTTCTTCTTCTTCTTGTTCTTCTTGTTCTTCTTCTTCTTCCCTCCTCCTCCTCCTCCGCCCATTCTTCTTCTTCTTCTTCTCTCCTCCTCCTCCTCCCCCTCTCATCTTCTTCTTCTTCTTCTTCTTCTTCTTCTTCTTCTTCTTCTTCTTCTTCTTCTTCTTCTTCTTCTTCTTCTTCTACCTCTTCTGCTTTTCTTCTTCCACGACTTCTTCAGTCCTCCCCCTCCTCCCCCTCTCATCTTATTCTTCTTCTTCTTCACCATCTCTCGTCGTCGTCCTCCCCCTCATCTTCTTCTTCTTCTTCTTCTCTCCTCCTCCTCCTCTTCCGACTATCTTCTTTTTCTTCTTTTTTTTTTTAACATTCGTTAGCGATAGGTCGCGAGATAAACGACAGGTAAGGAAAAA